GCACAAATTTTCGTATAAATACCTACCATGTCTATTTCCACAACCGAACACGATGCATATTTAGTCGAAAACTGGGACACCGAGACCCTTGTCCTTCACCTGCAAGAGCAGGGCCTAAAGCTTGACGATGAAGACTTCGCTATTATCCGCAAAGAAAAGATCGTTGGCCTTGACTTCCTTGACTTGACCGAAGAAAAGTTCCGTAGTTATGGGCTTGCAGGTGGACCAGCAATGAGACTCGCAAAAGAGGCAAATGCTCTCAAAACCGCACCGAAGCGTCCTTTCTCTTCATACCACAGTTTGAAAGAAGTGCTGGCAAAATATGGGATTGATGATAATCGAATCACGGCCATACCTCAGTTCACGCCAGGTATATATGACGATCTAATCGGTACAATATTTTTTTTCTGGCTCATTACAAATCTTTGATCATAACAGACATCCACAAGCTCGACGATAATGATGAAGAACTTCTCCACTGTATTAAGGAAATAAAGCATCGATTGGGTAATATGGGAACAGTGGCTGACAGTAATGAAGCTATGCGCTGTTCCTACATTGAGTCAATCTTACATGCTAGTGTTCGTATAGTCATGCACCTTACCGAGAAGGGGTTACTCTTAATTCCTCAGTTAGAAGTATCCGGTGGTGAAAGTCATGGCCGTGTCGACTATGCGGTTAAGAAAATTGTAGACACCATGGTGGAAGACATCATATGCGTGACCGAGGGCAAGCAGAATCAAGCAGGAATTGGTATAGCGCAGAATTTAATGCAGTGTGAAAGCTCAGAACAGGTATGATCTTATTTTCGACTGGAACGATATTTATCCTTTTATTCAACATAACACTAATAAAGCCAAATTTTATAGACGAATAGGAGAAAACGAAAAGTTGACGAGGCCTTTAGGGATTCTTATTATGAGTATCTCTATGGTATCGTTTCCACTGCTTCAGATTGGTATTTTCTGTTATACAGTAGTGAAGGAATCTGGTGCACCAGTAAAACAGAATATCATATCTCGCTAACTGAATCCGCTCTAGACGATGATACCGATTTACGTAAGGGGGTTAAAAGGGTGATGGAAGTAATCGTTGGTTTGTTAAAAGATAGGGTAATGATTGATAGTACACCTGAGGTGAAAAGACGTCGGGTAGAAGAAATCAAAAAGTAATTATGTAGAGAAACATGTATACCGAGCCTTGTTTTCTTAGCTGAAAGTTAAGCAATCTGACCTAAATGATCATTCCTTATTCCGGTATTTGTGCGTGGTGTTATTATTGGGATTGTCGTTTAAGACAACGAAGTGAATTACTGCGCCACATTACTGCGCCCTTGTGACTGCCACGTCGTGGAAAACCAAATATTGATATATTTTGCTATATGTAATAAAACCGTACTATTTTTTAATGAAACGTGCAAAGTGAAAATCATGAATCGCATGCACATAATAGCGGAGCTAGTGTATAAAGACACATAGTTAATTCCATCATCTTCATCTACTCCGTGCATCCTATCATAGGCCTACGCTTCTTTTTTCCGCGAAAGTATATGCTATTCTTCTGAGTAGGACCATCGGCTCTAGGATTATATAAGTCTAACGTCTCTTTGAGACATATTTTCCTTATCTTCATTATGAGGGTATGGATCGTTAAATTATTCATGTCGCCATTAGTGAGGAGAGAAATATGGCATAGTGTTTCCGCGGTTCAGACCACTGAGATATAAGACATGAAATAGTTAGCAGAATTCTCCTCAACTTTTTTGATCATCAAACTATACTACAAGTGTCTACCAATTTCTTTACCATTCGCCTTCTTCTCCATGCTTCTTACTATTCATGATATTATAAAATAATTACAATTGGATAAAAAATATAGTTTAGTTTTAAGAAAATATCTAGGTTTAGTATATGTATAACGATGTCATCTAGACAAGCCAATCAAGCAAGCATCCGCAAAGATATACAAATCAGACTTGCAGAGCTTAAAGGAGTAGCATTGAACACGATACCCTATCCACGTTCTAATGCTATTTTAACTCAATATCAAGAAGAGATTAGAAATCTTGAAAAGAAAGTTAATTATCAATCAGAAATAGATTCCATCGACAAGTTAGCTGACTGGTTAGCTGGGCCAGAAAAGAGTCATAAGCCAAGAGAATCAGATCCAGTTCCTACTACATTTGATGAATGGGCAGATAAACATTTACGGTTGGGAAAAGAAGATCCGGTTTGATATGCAGATGGTTCAATTACATGGTTCTCAAGACACATTCCAGAATTAGCACCCCAGAAAAAGTTGAATGATCATGGATATGACTATTGGGAACTTTCTCCCGATTCAAATAAATCACATATTTCATCTGAGTATGCGAAAAAAGTTCAGGACTTGATGAATGATAATGCAGAATATATTATTGGAATTGTTAAAAGTTGGGAAATAGGTAGAATGGAAAAACAAATACAGTATGATAATGGTACAATTACAGACTTTAAGGAAGTATGGATTCAGGAGAGAATGATAAGTGGGGTATGGAGCCTCATGGATGGTCACCATATAAGATAGTATATTGTGAAGGAAAGATAAATATCAATAGACTTTTATGATTAGATTAGATTGAATGGCGAGGAGAACTTCTTACGTCACAACAAGATATTGAGGATGGGAAAAAAGAAAAATGGAAAGGTCAGCCATATGTGCTACGCTATCAGTTTATGGCACATCTACGTAGAGACTTATTTGGTCCAGGAATTCATAAGGATGGAACAGTTTGGTGGCATACTCAACTGCCAATTCATGTAAATTATAAAATGGCATCAGAGATTAAGGCTCTTCTTCATTATGCTACAGAATACACACTTTTTACTAAAATCTGGATAGCGAATGGAGCAGTAGAGAAAGAAATTGCAGACAAAGGCTGGCATTTTGGTAAGAAAAAGAAAGCTGGAAGTCTTACTGGAGAAGAAATCACACCAGGACAACTTATAGGAATTGACGAATATATATTGAAAAGACTCGTGAATATGTATCATATATTTGTTATGAACTTCGGCAGTTCCAATACCACAAGGTCCACTAGGTCTATTCTACAATGGTGATATGAACTGTATTGTTACAGAATTACAATGACAAATTGAGCAAGGAGGAACAAAGCGGGCTAAAGGGCTAACGCCAGCTTGTAAAAGAGCCCTTGCGGAATTTAATGAAAAAGTTCTAAAACCAGGTTATAATTTGAAGAACTTACATATTCTCGAAAAGGATGAAAAGGATGGAGGATTGGGAATGAAAATTATCGTTAAAAGATATCTTAGGCAATGAAATGTGAAATAGCGGTAAATATAAAAAACGTAGTACATTAACTGTATTTTATCATAACAACCATGCTTGGAAGGGTGGTATTCCTGAAATGCCACAAGTATCTTCAGTTTGTAATATGGATTTAGAATGTGAAAGAGCACTTGCTTCCACATGTACCAAAACTAAAGAAGGAAAGGTCAACATTGACGATAAAAAAATTGCAGAAGCACTATATCATTTATTGCCAGAGAACTCCCGAAAGCTACAAGAGTATGGATTATAGGTAACACATGAAGATATTCTCTATCGTAGCTCTTATGAATGGGAAAAACTATTTAAGGCTTTTGTAAATGAAAATAAAGATTCTATTCCAAAAAGTTTATTACAAACTGATATGTGGACCGAAGAAACTCGTGCATGGATAGAAGAAGGATTTTATCATTCTACAGGACCAATTCCTTCTCAAGAGCTTAAAGTAAAATATAACAAGTTTGACAAATTTCTGGGAAATACCCAATCATACAGATTTCGTTGTTGGCAAGAAAGAGAAGGTATCGAGCCTGCACCTAGGAGTGTTGTTGAAATTTGGTGACAATCTCAAGTAGAATCAATGTTATGGAATGCTCCAATAGATCCACCCCCTAAACATATTCATATCGATCTTTGTGAAGCATATATTGGTTGTGAGAACTCAAAACGAAGTGCATCTGAAGCCTTACCTTGGGTTAAACGATATGAATTTCCAGAACGAATACAACAACGTGCCTGTGTTGAAAATATTGAAGCTGTCCGTTGCTTAACTGGCATTGTTCAGCTAGTAGCATGGGAATTTGCCAAAAATCTTTATCCATTTACAGCAAGACTTATTGGGCAATACCTTATAGAAAAAGAAGGTTGGATTTCAACACCTCTTATAGATTACCTGCTCAGTGCTGTATGGCTCATTAGTGCAAATACAAGAAAAATCATATATAGTGTTGGCAAAAAATCTTGTATTGAATTCCCTTCTGATCATGATTTAGCTGTACGTTTCGTAGGATCATGTGCTCGTAATGCACAAGTTATATCTGTTTTAATTTGAGACAAAAATGAGGCAGATATGATTCATCAATGGTTAGCAAGAAAAAAGTATCGTCCAAATTGAACAAGTAATGAGCATGGAACCTTAATAAAGTATGAGGGGAATAAAAAACGTGCTCAATGGTTGCATATCCGCTCCTTTGTTCTTGCCTATACTCATATTTCTATATTCGAACAGTTGAAACGCTTTCCGATTAAAAATGTATTGCGAGTATGTACTGATGCAATTTACATAACAACAATTCCTAAAACAATTTTAGATAAGAGTAAACTTATAATTGATTTTGGTAAAGAGCTCTTTATAATACAAAAAATGATATAGAGTTAGAAGATGTTCATAAAAGATATAATGCAGAAGTAGATAAAATAAAAAAGCAATATGAATCTATAATCGTAGATACTTCAGAAATTAAATATGGTCAATGGCGCAAGAAAAAACCAGGATATATCTATCGCAAAGAAGCATCGTCCTGGATTATTAATCATAAAAGTTCATTAGATTTTCCACCAAGCGAAGCACCACCTCTTTCTACTGATCCAAAATTAATTACATTGCGAAAACCCTATTTAGTTGGTCAGGGAGGTGGTGGAAAAATAACACGAGCTATTCGTACATTTCTCAATCGAAAGATTGTATTTCTTACTCCAGTAAACCTGCTTGCCGACTATCATAGAAAACAAAATCCAGGGTTAATCACTATGACATATCATAAGTATTTCCATTTGGGAGCAACCACAATCGATGAGTGGGATCCTGCATGTCTCAGAAAAAAGATGCTTGCTGAAATACTAATCTTCGATGAAGCATGTATGATACCTAGAAAAGTATTACAGAGATTGTTATCTTATGCCGAAAGCTAAGGCTGTCAAATAATAATGTGTGGTGATCCAGACCAACTTATACCATGGGGTGACAAAGAAGGTCTGCATAAATTTCTTACAGAATGGGTTGACGAAGTAATCTGGTGTATAGAAGACTATCGTACACAAGATAACAAACTTAAGGCATTAAAATTACGTATATGGATTAAAAATGATATTACATAATTGCTAGAATTTCGTAAGTCTATATCTAAAACAACATGGAAAAATGATCTCACCCAGTGGACTCCAAATGATATCTAGATCTGTTCTACAAATGATATGAGTAAAGATGGGTCACTAAAGGGGGAGGCAGGGACAAAAGTCAAATGTCTCTCCCTAGGAAACATTAAAATTTTTAAATTAATAACTATAAAAAAACTATCCACAATTGTTTTTCATTATTCAAATTATTGATTTATAGCATTTCCTGACTTTTGTCCCTATTGAAATGAAAAGTTATGAATTTTGTCATTCAAAAAGAAACATAAGTGATCTGCAAAATTTTATATATTAAATACTTTAGGAATCCATCATCAACTGAGATAGGTAAAATTTCATAGAAAATCATGAAATAGTAACTTTAAAAGGGTTAGAACAGTTTAAAATGAAAAAATAAGCCTTTTACTGCAATAAAATCTCGATAAATCTCTTGCTTCAAAGATTAGAAGGGTCTTCAGGCATTTTATAATTAGCTTTTCTTTTTTTGAAAACTTTTTTGTCATTAGTATCAAAGGTTTTACTTGATTTTCTTGATTATTAGAAGTCAAGTTTTTAATAAAGAGGTTTTTAAATAATAGAAGAAGGGTAAAGATAACTATTGAAATTAGATTTCAAGTTTTTTTAAAAAAAGTATTAAGACTTTATTAGTAAAGAAGTTAAAAATTTCTTACAAACATCTATTTTGTATGTAGTTAGAGGATTAGTGAAAAGAGTTTTTTAAATTTTAAAATTTTCAATTAAATTATTTTCTATAAGTCCTGCT